AAAAAGCCTCAGGTAACACCTTACTCTAGGAACTTGGTAAAGCGGGGCATCAGTCTGAGGTTCTCTTAGCCTGCACTTTCTGGCATGAATCACTATGTCAAAATCCAGGGGAAGGTTTACTGAGATTACAGTGATTTTAGGGAGCCACAACAAGGTAGATGCCACTCCTTGAGTGGCGCTTGGGCACAATATGGAGCACCCACCTCTTGAACTCATTTGCCTGAACTTAGTTTCAACTATGGGAAGCTGAGGGCAGGATGAGAAATGCTGAGGCTCTGCTCTTCCCAGAAAGACAGCTGTCCAGTGGGAGTTAGGGGCTGTAGATGAAAAAAAGGGGTTCTATGTAAAGTAACCTCACAAGTAATCTATTCATAAATTCCTAATAGGGCTGATCATGGTGAGCAGGCATGCCCCAGGCCTATAACTTCCTTATGTAAGGGTTTTAAGCCAGCCTTGTCCATTTATTTCCATGTTAATACATTTTTGAAATACCAGAAGTCATATCCCTCAAGGGGAAGCATTAACCCTCAAGAGAGCACATAATTTTGTTAACTGTCCTGTAATCCAATGCCCACCTTGCTTTCTCCAATCTTCCTTACATCCCATCCTTAATTTCAAATGCATAAAAGAAGCTGCAGTCATGGCCTATTGGCTCAGTGGTTAGTGATGGCCTGAACAAGGAAAGGTTGCAGGTTTGATCCCTGGCCCCAGTTGGGGCATGTAGGAGGCAAACAATGGATGTGTCTCTCTCAGATCAATGTCAATGCCTCTTTCTCTCTTTCCCATTCTCTCCCTCCCTTCTACTCTCTCCAAAAATCAATGGAAAAAATATCCTTGGGTGAGGATTGATTAATAAATAATAAGTGGTCAATAAATCCTTAGGTAGGAATCTTTCAATTAGAAGCAGCAGCAGCAGCAGCAGAGCAGCTGCAAATCTATTGTTATTCTCCAGAGCACTTGAGATCTTGCTCCCTGGCATATGCTGAGAATTGGGCTCAAATAAGCTCCTATAAAAATTCTCTAAAGATCTGGAAGTTCTTAAGTTGACAGAACAAAGATAGTCTTGTTCTTTGTAGCTGCAGTCTGATGTAGAGTGTATGCCTTGCTGAGATGGAAGAATGGAGGGAAGAAACAGTTTTGGCTCAAATATCACAGGCTCTTAAAGGAGTTCTTTCTTACTGAATTTTCATAGATTTTGAGTAAATAATTTTTAATTTGCTGTCTGCTTTTAGGACCATTTGCAGAGTCTTTACATTGTTATTTTTTATAGAGTTCTAATCAGTTTCACTGGAAAGGGGGTCAGTTGAGTGCTACCATCCCAGAAGTCGATCTTCTCCCATTGTGTCTTTATTCAATTCTAATAATGCTTTTCTATCTACCATTCCACCTCTAGGCCTCCAAAAACTATTTTGCTGTTAACCTGTTAGCCTAATGGGACGTATAAATACGTCAAACGTTGCATACAGTGAGATACAAGACTTGCTGCGTAACTAAAAAGGGAATTCCTCGGTTAACAGGTTAATAGTATTTGCAGGAGGGAAAGAAATAGAGAAGAGTAGGGGTGTGGAAAATTGTTCTCAAGCTTAGAGACTTTAGAGTTGCAGCAGTTCAAAATGTTGACTCACACATGGAAGCCCATAGTAGAGCTAAAATAAAGGTGGATGGACTTCTGACACAGAACAGAAAAAAGTTAGAAAAGTTACCTATTTTGACATTGTAGCCACCAAGGATCCTTACAACACTGGAGAACAGGAAGAGTGTTAGTACTTACAATTCATTGCTAATATTTCTGTGGAACAGAGTAGAAGCTCCTCCTCTTCTTCCTCCTTCTCCCTTACCCCCTCCCCCTCCTCCTCCTCTTATCCTTCTCCTCTTCCCTTTCTTCCTCCTCCTCTTCCTCCTCGTCTTCCTCTTCCTCCTTCCTCTTCCTCTTCTTCCTCCTCCTCTTCCACTTCTTTCTTTTATTTTTTTTATTATTATTTTTTTCCCCACTCAAGGACATTTTTTCCATTTTTTGCACAGATAGAGTGGGAGGGAGAGAGAAGAAGAGAGAGAGAGGGAAAGATCGATGTGAAAGGGACACATCGAGTGGCTGCCACCCGCACGACCAAGCAGGGCCGGGGACAAACTGCAACCAAGGTACATGCCCTTAGCGGGAACCGAACCTGGGTCTCTCTGGACCGCAGGCGGATGCTCAGCATTTAGAGCATCAGACTGCAGACCAGAGAGTCCCGGGTTCGGTTCCCACTAAGGTCACCATACCTCGGTTGCAGTTTGTCCCCACCCCGGTTGGGTTCATGTGGATGGCAACCAGTGTGTCTCTTTCACATCGATGTTTCTCTCTCTCTTACCCCCTCTCTCCCATCTGCTCTATCTGAAGATAAATGCAAAAAATGTCCTCATCCTTGATGGATGGGGACATCCATCAAGTGAGGATAAATAATGAATAAATAAATGTATTGGGTTGACATTGGTTAATAGAATTATATAGGTTTCAGGTGTACAATTTTATAATATTTCATCTGTATATTGTATAGTGTGTGGGAAGAAGCTTCTTAAGGTTAGTAAATGACAGGAGGAAAAACAGAAGACATTTAAATAGATGACATGGACCTCAATAGAGAATTGATTCTGACAGATTTAGACACTAGTTCTTCACTTTTCCCATTGTGGTTTTTCTATCTTCATCTGTTATAGAAGTTATAGTTAGCACTTTACCTGTACATTTCTTTACTCTAGTGTAAAACATTTTAAATTGGTATCTTCCCAGCACTTAACAAGGGCCTGGTACATAGTATTCCCAGTAAATACATGTCACGTGAAATACTTAATGAGGAAGTGTTCAGAGATAAATATGTTACAGTGTGAGAGCTAAGAACATTCTGGCATCTAGGTCTTGTCAGTTGATCAGAAGGGGTGGGAAAGGAAAAAGCCAGGGTTTGTATACATTGAAGGAGCAGGTCATATGTTTTCAAAGTTAATATTTAGGATAAAGGGGGATTTATTTTTTAAAAAAAGAAAGAAAAAGACAGTGATAGGGTAAAAGAGAAAGAGTGGTAGGGCTGGAAAAGGATCATAAACAGGGATGATGTGATAAGCTATGGAGTTTATTATAGGAGTAAGAAAACAGACGGAAATAACAATTATAGACATTTGATAGTAGTTGTCAAAGGAGAAGTATAAGACCCAATCATTGGACTGCTAAATGAAAATCAACACAAATAATTGAAGACATAGGAAGAGTGAGAAGGAAAGAATAGGTTTAATAGGTTACGTTTTTGTTTGGGAAGAATATTGTAAAACAAAGTAGCTTAAAACTCCAATTGAGAGTATTCATGTGATTGTTGGACTTGAACAAATACTTTTTAATTTTCTCCTCATTCTTTTTAGTAACAGTTTTGGCATGGGAAGACTGATAAAAACCTAGACCTGTATGTATACTTCTTTCTCAGTCAGTGAGCTTTATGGGAGGTGGCAACTATGGGTGAAAAGGGTTGAGCTAGTGCAGTGATTTTCAACCAGTGTACCACAAGAACTTTTATTTTTATATTTTATTTTTTCAAGAAAATCTCTACAGTCTCTGTCTCTTTTTAAAATTTTTTATTTATTGATTTATTTTAGAGGGAGGGGGGAGAGAGAAAGAGAGAGAGAAACACTGGCTTATTGTCCACGTATTTATGCATTATTCATCGGTTGATTCCTATATGTACCCTAATCAGGGATTGAACCTGAAACCTTGACATATTAAATGACATTAAAACTGAGCTACCTGGCCAGGGCAACTGCAAGAATTTTTAAAACGTGTAATGCCTGACTATTTATTCAGGAGCACTGACCTCTTTTTCCCTTAGATTTTCAAATGACAACACCAACACAACAATAGTCATCAGGTGTGAATGCCATGTTGCATATTAAGATTGCATCTGATTGGTTAATTCTTGGTACCAGAAATCCTTATATACAAGTATAGGCACTTGATTATTTAAAAAAAAAAAAATCACTCTGGATCAAAATAGTAATTACTATTACTATTTTTTTTTTTTTTTTTTTTGATTTTAGAGAGAGGAAGGGGGGGAGAGATAGAAACATCAATGAGAGAAATCATCAATTGACTACCTCCTGCATGCCCCCCGCTGGAGATTAGGCCCACAACCTGGGCAAGTACCCTGACCAGGAATCAAACCAGCGACCTCTTGGTGCATGGGTCCATGCTCAACCGTTGGGCCACATCACCCAGGTACTATTATTTTTTTGTAATCAATGAAAGGTATACCTACCTCTATTTTGTCAGATTAGCAAAAAATGTATTTTTAGTAATTAGTTTATGTGTGCCATGAGATGAAAAAGGTTGAAATCACTGAGCTAGTGAAACAGGTCTCTGCACACCTGATACTGTATAAAGACAGGATTTGCTAAATAAAGTCATAGCTCCATTCGAATTAAGATTTTACAGTATTCTTTTTTTTTTTTATCCTCACCCGAGGACATTTTCCGATATTTTGTTCAGATAGAGTGGGAGGGAGAGAGAGAGAGAGAAACATCGACATGAAAGGGACACATCGAGTGGTCACCACCCACACGAACCAACCAGGGCTGGGAACAAACTGCAACCGAGGTACTGTCCTTAGCGGGAACCGAACCTGGGTCCCTCCAGACCGCAGGCCAATGCTCTAACCGCTGAGCCAAACTGGCCAGGGCTACAGTATTATTCTTTGAGTTTCAAGTCACAGACTAATTCGAGTAGTTACTGGTGCATATTATATTACATTTCTGCCTTGCATTTATGTATAAATTAAAATGTTTAGTCCTTAATAAATGTTTAATTATGAAATGTTTTTCTATTTATACATTTTTAAACAATTTTTTTTTCTTTTTCTGCATATAGAATTACATTTTATTTAGGAGATATGTTTTTTTTGTTAAAGGCATTTGTAGTCTGATATGATAGCATTTAGTTTTGTATAAATTAAGTTCATGTTTAATAAATTTTGTTCCCACAGTCCAGAAAAGGCATTAAAAGACTCTCTACAGCCCTATGAGGCTGCTTATCTATCAAAATCCTTATCTCGACTCTTCGATCCTATCAACTTGGTTTTCCCCCTTGGTGGTCGTAATCCTCCTTCTTCAGATGAGCTGGACGGTATTATTAAAACTATAGCAAGGTATGTATATTTATATAATGGCATTTTATTAAAATGTCTCTTGTGTTTGTTAGTAATGTATGATAGCAATATTTTTTTTACTATTTTTATTTTTAATTAAAAAATGTTGACCCTTACCAGAGGATATTTTTTCCACTAATTTTTGCATAGAGCAGCAGGAGGGAGGAAGAGAAACATCGATTGGTTGCCTCCCGCATAGCCACAACCAGGACTGGGGATCAAACTTGCAGCCCAGGTACATGCCTTTGACTAGGAATAGAACACTCGACATTTGGTCTGCGAGCTGTTGCTGTAACCCCTGAGCCAAACCAACCAGAGCTCTTCATGGTACTTTCGCATTTTTAGTAATGAAATGCTTTTTTATATCATACAGAAATGTCCAAAAAAACGTATCATACACCATGTCCCTCACCAGATTTAATAGATGTTACCATATTGCCATGTTTCCCTCCCATCTGTTTCTTGTTTTTAAAGAAAAATGTATCTTACAGATGAGATTTATTTGCTTTTAAATCCTTGAACTCATCTGATTTATTTGGAGTATGTTGCAAAGTTGGGAGCAAGCTTTATTTTTCCAAACCACTAATCAGCAGTGCCCGCTGGGTTTCTCCCGGTGGCTCCCTTATCACGCCTCTGTTCTGGTGTCTGTTGGGATCCATGTGGACAGTATGTTTTTAATTTATCTTAAATCATTTAAATAATTTGTCCTGTAATTAAATCAAGAGTTTTGTAGTCAGTGAGTGTACATAAAGCAAGTATTTGAGATTCCAATTAATAAAACCATTTATATACAATGTAAAAATAGTCTGTTCTAATTATTCCGTATCTTGTCAATGATGCAAAGTAAACCTAATTTTTTATGCCATAGTAAACTTCTACTATTACACAGGAAAGTATAGATACAATTTTATAAATTGAGAAGCTAAACCATAGAGGTTAATATTTCTTATCTTAATCCCAGAAAGTATTTCATGGCACACACAGGTTTATAATCCTGACTAGCCTACTTTTTAAGTGAATGTGACAGCTTTTAAAATTCCCGAAAGGGAAGGTACCCTAGCAAAGGTGCCACCTGAAAGCTTACAGACATTTTAATTATACTATTGCCTTTAGTGGTTTACAGGTACAAAAATTAATTTGCAATTGCAACTATCTCAGTTGCTGTCATAGCTAACAAATTGTCATAACAGTAGGTTTTTACATTTGTAGATGAACACTTTTGCAGAGTAAAAATAGCAGTTAGGCAATATAAGACAGAGGTATAGAAATGTCTAGATTCTTTTAGACTATAAATTCAATGATGGTGATTCTGAGGCATGTGAGAATAAGACTAAAACATCACAGGTATAATACACATAAGTATCTCTCCAGCTGCAAGTATACCTATACAGTGTCTAAATTGCCCAACGTTTTGATTCCAAATCTTCCCACAATTATCTTGACTTTCCAAAGTGCTGATGACTCTAGATTTTTTTTTTTTTTTTTTAGCCTATTGTGTTTGTTATCTGTTTAGCATGATAGTGACAAAAACAGTCCTGGATTCAGCTTGGTCTCTTTGACCTGCTTATCGAAATATTATAGAGGAATCTCTCCCATTCCTCTATGTAGCTTGACAGTGATGTGGAGCTTAATTTAAAGAGGCATACTTCTGCTGTTGTTTAAAAGTAAACATTAAAGAAATTATATCTCACTATTATAAGAAAGGACAGTTTTGTCACACATAGTATGCACTACTATTGTTTCAAAGTCCTTCATTTTCTTATAAAGATAATCTGATAAGTGCCAGATTTATTCTGCAGAGATAGTAATTACTTCTGCTTTCTACCTCTATGTGGATTTTGTTTTCTTTATTGATTTTAGGGAAAGAGGAAGGGAGAGAGAGAGATAAAAACATTGGTAAGAAAGAACATGGATCAGCCGCCTTCTGCATGTCCCCCACTGGGCATTTGCCCCACAACCTGGGCATGTATCCTGACCTCAAATCAAACCGGTGACCTCTGGTACATGGGTTGACACTCAACCAGTGAGCCATACCGGCCAGGCTATATGGATTTTTTAAAAAAATTTTAATGTTGCAAGTATTACAGATGTTCCCCTCATTTTTCCCATTGACCTCCTCCTCTCCACTCCCACCCTCTATGTGGATTTTCATGTAATTTTTAATCCCTAGTATTCTTTTACTGTATATTTTTGTTGTTGTTATTAGTCAGCTCAAATGTCCCAATTATTAATTCAGTGTTAAAATTGAAAATAAACATGACAAAGAAATATTTTAGGAATTCAAAATTTAGCCCTGGCCCATGTGGCTCAGTTGATTGAGTGTCATTTCTTTTTTTTAATTTTTTTTTATTTTTATTTTTTATCCTCACCAGAGGACATTTCTCCATTTTTTGTTCAGGTAGAGTGGGAGGGAGAGAGAGGAACAGAGAGAGAGAGAGAAACATCGATGCGAAAGGAACACATCGAGTGACTGCCACCCGCACAACCGACCAGGGTCGGGGACAAACTGCAACCGAGGTACGCGCCCTTAGCGGGAACCGAACCCAGGTCTCTCAGGACCACAGGCCGACGCTCTAACTGCTGAGCCAAACCGGCCAGGGCGATTGAGCGTCATTTCCAAGCACCAATAGGTTGCCAGTTCTATTCTAGTTCAGGGCACATACCTGAGTTGCAGACTCGATCCCCAGTAGGGGGTGTGCAGGAGGCAGCTCTGGTCAATGTTAACCTCTCACATCGATGTATCTCTCTCTTCTTCTCCCTTCCTCTCTCTCTAAAATCAACAATGAAAACATATTTAGAGAAAAGGATTCAAAATTTAAAATTTCAAATTAAATTTTTGTTATGCTTTTGATATATTGAAAAGCTACACAAAATAGTGTGAATTGGCATAACTTCTAGAAACTGAGTATCTCTATGTATCATGTGTAATTTATATTTTTAGCCCATGTCCTTCCAAAGTCGTCATTTCCATTCAAGAGCTGTCATTGCCTTGCAGATGTCTATGATATATAGTTTCTCTTATTGTACTTATCAGTATTAACAAGGGTGCTACTTCAAAAATCTGTACAAAATTTACTCTCATAATCACAGCCTAAACCCATGTATGGTATGCTTTTATTAATGAGAAACTGGTCATTAACCAAGCCATCTCAAAGCACATTTTTCTAATGCTGAATTAGGAGGGAAAATAAAACAATGCAACCAGTTCTTGCAAGCAGTCGATCAACTCTATAAAACGAATTACCATATTGCTTATTGGTTTTAGGTTTATATGTTGCTCTTTACTTGGTTGATGAACAATATTGATAATAATTAAACCTGTTCTTGTTTTCTCCAGTGAACTAAATGTAGCTGCTGTTGATGCAAACCTCACATTAGCTGTGTCAAAAAACGTGGCCAAGACCATCCAGTTATATGGTGTAAAATCAGAACAGCTTGTAAGTGATATCTCTTCTGTCAACTTTCATGATTTTGTTTAAAGTTACTAATATACAATACTGGACTAACTATAAATATTGAATTGACTGAATATTAATTTACTGGCATTTTTACTTTAGTGAACTTTTGAAACTTTCTGATGAATTTAAACCAGAAAAAATGTTACATCCATTAAAACATGGCTCTCCTACCATTGTTATACTTTTAGAATGCAGACAAGTTTTTTAAAATAAGGCTTTTAAAAAAAATGCATATGCCACTTTATGGGCTAATTGCATTTTTAAAAAATAATAATTATTTCAAATTGATCAAATTTCTTCTTTTATGTGACCAGTCGCTATAGATAGCAATGTACTGTTACCTAGTGTGAAATTGACTTGAACTGTTAGAAAACGGTTGGAGGAAGTAGAGTGCTTAAAATTATAATAGAAAAATGTTGATTAACTTTCTAAAGGTTCTAATCCAAGAGCATGGAAGTTTAACCCTAAAATTGTTCTATTTGGAACAGCTGTTTGCATATATTTAAAACAATAGCTGTATAACTGAATCATCTTAATTCTATACATTAATGTTTTAAAGGTAAGCACACATTTAACTAGTGTGTGTGTATGCTGATTGAAGTCTAAAGAATAAGATTTTAGTATGTTTTTAATTGTCATATGAACTAATTTTACAGAATGTACCAAAATCTGATATCTCTACTGCCTTTATAGGGTAGCCAACCATTCTTTTTAGCCTCTCTGACTGCTCCCATTTGAAATATCAGAAAATAAAATAATCTGATTTTACCTATATCCCAGTAATTCCAGTTGGTTCTGGAAGAATTTTTAGGGTAGGTTGGTAACAAATTGAACTGAAGAAATTTGTATGAAATGATCCTTTATGGTAACAGTCATATCATGAGGCTTCCTACTTTCATTTCCAAAGGATCGCCAGATTTTATTTGCATATTTGTATGGTGCTATTTTTCACTCAGTTGTTCTTACAGCCTTGGCAAATAAATTAGAAGCATCTCTTTTTAAACCTTTATTGAAAACTGGCCCTATAGAGATCATCAAACCTCTTTGTAGGTAATTAGAGGACTAATATTTCTCCCAAGCTTTTTTTTATAGTAGCATTATTATGTTTATTGCTTCATTTATTTCTATAAATGAAATTCAGTACTATATCCAATAGAATTTAGCGTAATTACTGAAATGTAACGAAGATAATCCTTGTAAGTTGATCCTACCTAAGGACAACATTAGTAGGAAGAGCCAGCATATGTATAGGAAATATTTTACTTTTTTGCACCAGGAGGAGGCAGTGGTCATGCTAACTTATGACTTCAGTTAAGGCAATAATAGCAAAAGGGATTGACAAAATTAAAAGACATCAACAAACATCTGATTAAATTGATACTGTTGGTCAAATAGTCTGTGACCTTAGATTAGTCAGGCCTACCAACCCACTATGCTAAAGATTAACAGAAAGTCATTGACTTTAAAATTTTTAAGTGGACCTGGCAGGGTAGCTCAGTTGATTATAGCATCATCCCAGTATACCAAGATTGCAGGTTTCATCCCAGGTCAGGGCACATAAGAATCAACAAATGAATGCATAAATAAGTGGAATAACAAATTGTTATCTGTCTCTCTCTCTTCCTCCCTCCTTCCCTCCTCTTCCCTTCTTCTCTCTCTAGACTTAATTAATTAAAGTAAAATAAAATAATGCTCCTTAAGAATTTTTTTGCCCTGCCAGTGTGGTTCACTGATTGAGCATTGACCTATGCAACAGGAGGTTGCCTTTTCGATTCCTTGTCAGGTTGTGAACCAAATCCCCAGTAGGAGGCATTCAGGAGGCAGGCAATCGATGTTCTTTGTCATCATTGTTTCTATCTCTCTCTCCCTCTCTCTTCCTCTTTGTACAATCAATAAAGAAAAAATATTTAGCCCTGGCCAGTTTGGCTCAGCGGTTAGAGCGTCGGCCTGCGGTACAGAGAGACCCGGGTTTGGTTCCCGCTAAGGGCACGTACCTCGGTTGCAGTTTGTCCCCGGCCCTGGTTGATCGTGCGGGTGGCAACCACTCGATGTGTCCCTTCACATCGATGTTTCTCTCTCTCTCTCTCTTCCTCTCTCTCCTTCCCTCTCTGTCTGAACAAAAAAATGCAAAAATGTCCTCGGGTGAGGATAAAAAAAAAAAGAAAGAAAAAATATTTAAAAAGAAAATGGGGAGAGGGAAGAAAATTAAATTCATAACAAGTAGAGCCCTAGCGAGTATGGCAGAGTTGGTTGGGCATTGTCCCGCACACCAAAAGGTTGTGGGTTTGATTGCCCAATAGGGCACATGCCCAGGTTGCAGGCTTAATCCCTAGTGGGGGGTATGCAGGAGGCAGCAATCAATGTTTAACTCTTCTTCTCTCTCTAAAATTGAATAAAAAATATTTTTAAAGATTCATAACAAGTAGAGCCCTGGCTGGTTTGGCTCAGCGGTTAGAGCGTCGGCCTGCGGTCCTGAGAGACCTGGGTTCGGTTCCCGCTAAGGGCACGTACCTCGGTTGCAGTTTGTCCCCGGCCCTGGTTGGTTGTGTGGGTGGCAGCCACTCGATGTGTTCCTTTCACATCGATGTTTCTCTCTCTCTCTCTCTCTCCCCCTCCCACTCTACCTGAACAAAAAATGGAAAAATGTCCTCAGGTGAGGATAAAAAAAAAAAAAAGATTCATAACAAGTAGAAAGAAGGAAGTAATAAAGATGGCAGGGGAAATCAAGTTAAAAACAAAGGCATATAAAAAAAATCAGTGAAACCTATATTAGAATTTGTTGACATAAGAAACACCTTAAACCTGTACAGAATTTCTATGAAAGTTTATTTGAGCCAAACTAACAACAGTTGCCAGGAAGAAAGATCTCAGATGGTCCAGAAAATAACAGTTTTGCAGTTTCTTCATACATTTGGAATTCAGGAGGGTACTTAAGGAAGATTACATGAAGGTAGCAGAAAGTAAGTTACATGATAGTTAACAACATAATGGGCTCCCTTGAGGGTGGTCATACTTCAAAGGATCTGAAAAAGAGGTTTACTTGTGGCATTTCAAAGATCTGTTAACCTAGATGCACAAGAACAATGGACAGAGTTTGATTAAACCTTTTACTAAAGAAATTTATAAATAGCTCATGACATGACTGCCCACCATGACCTGCCCAGTTAGGAATTTATAATCAGATCACCCTATTAGGTTATTTTTGGTTAGATTTTTTTATATCACCACTTTTTCGTCCACAACTATAGAGAGTTTTATGAAATCAGTGTATATGTAGGGGAGGAAAAACTTTTCCTCTACACTCCTAGGTTTAGTAGCTGAGTCTATGAAATAAAATGACAAGAGATTAAAAGGAGAAAAATTTTACAATTTTTTAAATAGTAGATGTATGAGGGCTTCATAGGGAAAAAAAGTGAATCTTCAATAAAGGGATGAAATTTAAGTTAATATACCATCTTTTATTATTTTAAACTTCATCCAAGTATACGTTTATTTTATTTTTTATTTATTAATTTCTTTTTGTTACAAATATTTCTCATTTTCCCCCATTGATGCCCTCATCCCCCTTCCCCAAGTCCCCAGCTTTCTTGTCTATGTTCATTAATCATGTAAACATGTATGAAAGTTCTGTGGTTTATCTCTTTCCCCACAAACCCTCCTCCTCCTCTGAGACTTGTCAGCCTGTACTCCACCTCCATGTCTCTGGGTTAATTTTTGTTCAGCAGTTTGTTTAGTTCATTATATTCTACAAATAAGTGAGATCATGTGATATTTGTCTTTCTCTGCTTGGCTTGTTTCACTTAGCATAATACTCTCCAGGTCCTTTCATGCCATCTCAAAGGATAAGAGATCTTTCTTTCTTTCTTACAGCTACATAGTGTTCCATTGTGTACATGTACCACGACTTTTTAATCCACTCACCAACTGATGGACACTTGGGTTATTTCCAGATCTTAGCTATTGTAAATAGTGCTGCTATGAATATAGGGATACATATATTCTTTCTGATTGGTGTTTCGGGTTTCTTAGAGTATATTCCTAGAAGTGGGATCACTGGATCAAATGGCAGTTCAATTTTTAACTTTTTGAGGTAACACCATAGTGTTTTCCACAGTGGCTGCACCAGCCTGCATTCCCACCAGCAGTGTACTAGAGTCCCTTTTTCTCCACACCCTCACCAACACTTGTTATTTGATGATTTGTTAATGGCAGCCATTCTGACAGGTGTGAGATGATACCTCATAGTTGTTTTAGAGGCATTTTCAGTTTGAAAATATCTGAGAAGATGGTAAAATGGCGGCAGAATGAATGGAAACTACACAGACGATCTCCCAGGACCAAACAGGAATTACAACTAAAATAAAGACAAATCTTCGGAGAAAAGCAACAGAAAAGCAGCAGAACAGGACCACATAACCAGGGACACCGGTAGCATCTGCGGATGCGTGACAGGGTGGTGGGCTGAGAGCCCACGGACAGCAGTGTTCTGAGCTGTGAGCAGAGCCCTTGGGGTTAAACTCCCAAGCCAGCTCCACAGAGTAGAAAGCCCAGACAGAGCACTAAAGCAGCCACAGCCACTTACCTGGGGCTCTGGCAGAGGGAGGACAGACTGGTCTGGAAATCAGTGGAGACACACAGGATTTGAAGGGCAATCAAGTTTTTGCTGAGTCTTGGCCACAAAGTCCAGTGGCCAGTTTGCTCTTCCCCAAAGCTGTGGGGAAAAGCAGCAGCCCCTCCCTCGGAGATTCAACTTTTTCCAGGTGAGGCAAAGAAATGCAAATTGAGGCTCATTAACAACCAGCATCTATCTCACCCTCTGGAAATCCTCTTACGCAGAACACCAGGGCTACATTCTAAGGCACTGAGTAACTGAGACTACTAGCCTCCAGGCAAAAAGCTAGAGGATAACTGAACCTTTCCTAGGCTTGAAAAATCTACCCAGGAAAGTAAGATTTGACAGTGGTGTTTAACGTGGGCCC